AAAACGTTAACTCTGTTTTCTCCTTCACAGATGCTGCCAGACCTGCTGAGCTTTTCCAGCAACTTTGTATTTGTTCCTGATTTACAGCATCCGCAGTTCTTTTGGTTTTTAACAAAAGCAGAAGTTGCTGGAAAAGCCCAGCAGCTCTGGCAGCATCTGTGAAGAAACAAAATCAGAGTTAACATTTCAGTTCTGAGGAAGGGTCACTGGGCCCGAAACATTAACTCTGATTTTTTTCTTCACACATGCTGCCAGACCGGCTGGGCTCTTCCAGCAACCTACAATCTGCCTTCTGTCCATAGATACTGCCTGGCCTGCTGAGTTTTTCCAGCAATTTCTAATTTTGTTTTTGAGTTTACATGCTTCCTAGTTTCTGCATCTTTGGACAACTGCCTGAAGTACAGAACCTAGCAAGCTTGTAAACCCTCCATGCTCTGTAATGCAAAAGCTTTTGCCTTCCACCTGTATCACTGTTACCCTGCCTGTTACACTCCTGAAACACACTCTTACCTGCTCTGTACAATTCTGAAGGTTTCCTTGTGACATCACCACTACATGAAGGTAGTTGTTAGATTGGAAGAAGTAATATTTTTCACTAGTAAGCAGCATTTTCCTCAAAAAAATTATTTAATACAGAAGTTGCTGCTGTTTTAAAGTATTCAACTAATCTCCTTTAAATATTTAAGAGGAGATTGTGACATAGTCATAATGTCACTGGACTAGCAATCCGTAACTTCAGGCCAGTGCTGTGAGGATATGACTTCAAGCCCCACTGTGGCAGACAGTAGATTTTGAGTTTATTTTTTAAAAATCTGGAATAAAGAACAATCCTGACAATGTCCTTGTAACCGCTGTCGATTATTTTTTTTAAAAAAAAGCCCATCTGGTTCACTAATGTCCTTTAGGCAAGGAAATCTGCTAGACTCCAGACGCACAGCAATTTAGTTGACTCTTAAGTGCCCTCTGGGTAATTAGGGATGGACAATAAATGCTGGCTTAGCCAGTAATGCCCACATCCTGTGAATGAATTTTTTAAAAAAGCATGCCATTTGTTACACTGTTCCAAGTTCCAGAGTTCACTGCTACACTTGAACCTTGAAAAAAAAATTAGCAGGAACGTTATTTGGGATCCAGGCAGCTGGCGACAGAGGTCTCATGATTGAACCTCCAGGAATATGACCAACTATGTTATTCCAAAGAAGAGCCACTTTGGACTTTTATCATTAATTGTTCTGTCTCCATGTGTGTTGCTGGATCTGTTGAATCTTTTTTTTAAACACTTTGTTTTTGTTTCAGCCTTAATTCTGTGTGTTTGGATTTCATACTGTACACGTGACCATTTTATGAAGGCAAACTTGAATTTCAAATTGCTGCAGAAATGGGTAGCATTATTCCTGGGGTTTTCATCACATGACCTCTTGCCTATAACAGCCCTGAACGCAAGTTCTGGCCATTGGTCTTTCAACGTGTTCATCTTTGTGGTGTCGCTATCTTTCCATGTTGGTTAGGAATTGAACGGATTCCAATCAGTAATTCTTGACTCTCAGTCCAACACCTTTTTAATCCCCATTTCCAGTATTCTCATAACTCATCAGTGATGGTGTTCAACAAAGAGATAAAAGAAAACATGGTTGATTACATTTCAATATCCTGATGATTGTTTTCTCTGCTTGGTCTCAGCTGTGGAGAAGCCGTAAGACTAATCATCAATTCCTGGAAACTCCAAGTCTATCCTGAGGGTTGGCTCATTGAATAGTGGGCTGGCCCGAGGGGGCTAAATGTTGTTTGCCTGTTTCTGTGTTCTTCATTTTGATAACAATGGAATATTCTAATCTAAACAGCATGAGCGGCAAGTGCAGCGAGACAAGGCACAGGAGCTGACTGAGAAGCTGGACAAAGATTGGAAGGAGGTTCACTCCTTGTTGGCTCATAAAGCTCCCAAAACAGAGCACAAGGAGGAAAAACCCAAGGTAAATGAGTTTGGGGATGTCTGGCTTCATTGTATGACCTCAGCCGTTGGGTAAGCTGCCTGTTTAAATTGTAAAGGAGCGTGAAAATTGAAACAAAATTTTTCAGTGGTTTTGTATCAATTACTTGTTATGCCTGGTTTCTGGCACTATATGGTGCTAGTGTACACTGCAAGTTATACTAGCGCTTAGAGTAAAATAAAATGATTACATTGTCCCACATCCGTGCATTTTCTTTTACGCTAAATTGAATACAAATGGCCTTTATCAAACTTTGAAGACATTTTACCCATTATATTTATACTGGCTCTTTGGGAGAGCAGATTGAAGCAACAGGTTTAATTATTAACCATCAAAATAATTGATGGATTTTAGGAATTATTTATTAATTCTGGTGCATATTCTATGTCACTGCATGTCATAACTCTCTGGATACACTGCTTTATGAGCAAGGGATGCTGGTGTAATGATATTGTCGCATAATTTGTAATTCAGGGGCCCAGGCAAATATTCTGAATACGTGCAATGAAATCTTACCATGGCAGTTGGTGGAAGTTAAATTCAGTTCATAAGTTGAAATAAAGGCTAGTCTCAGCAATGTTGACTATGATAGCAGCTGTCATCCAGTCTGGCCTAAATGTGACCGCAAACCCAAATATGGTTGACTCATAAGTGCCCTCTAAACTAGCCAAGCAAACTGCTTGCAATTTCAAGATAGGTATAAGAAGAAAAACTGAACTTCCAAAGCTTAATGGCTAAGATACAAATTGCCTTAACCAGTTCAACAATTGGGGTGAGAAGTAGGGGAAAGCTCGGTGTATTGTTTAAAGTAACATGCTGACTATTTTACTGCAAGTTTCCCGTTGATTAGAATTGAAAACCATGTCAGGGTTCATTGTTTACAAAGGTTTGCAGCAGAGAAGTTGTGGCAGAATGGAAGCAGAAATGCAATATAGCTGGGTATTCTGAGTATGCTTGAAGAGATGTGGGCGAAGGGTGATGTGGAGCATAAACATTAGTAATTGGACCGTTGAGCAGTTTCTATTCAATAGACTGGAAGTAACTGTTAAGATTCACATCAAATTTTTTAAAAGAAAGTTCAAATGCGGTTTATTTTTTTCCATGTCTGGTCTTTCCTCCTTAAGGCTGGAGATTATGACATCATTGTACGTGAGCTGTTCTTTGACATGAAGGCACAGCCTTCTGACCGACTGAAAACAAAAGAAGAGTTGGCAAGAGAGGAGCAAGAGCGCCTTCAGAAACTTGAGGTATGGAATCTATTGAACACTGTGACACTGGCTAGTATCCCAGCCAACATCTATCTCTCCTCCAACAATGAAAACATACCACATTGCCATTTAAGCAGATTTTGATTAGTAGGTTGGACAGTCAAGATTTCAATCAGCTCTTCCGCATCTAATTAAAGTGCAGTGCATTGGTGATGAGATTTATACTAACAACGTGAATTCACATGAAATTGTTAACTTTTAAGCAAAGGAGATAGGAAGTCTAAACTTCAGGCATTTTGTGCTGAGCTTGTTTTTTGAAGTTTGCTTGTGAAATGTTACTACCATGTACAGAAAAGTATCTTGGTGGTCAGATGAAAGATGTAGGTGCAGACATGATTTTTTTTTTCCCAAAAATAAATTATTTAATGTACATTGAATGATCATCCAAAATTAACACTCCATAAGATCCGAAAACATTTCAGTTTCTTCCACTGCTGTGTGTCATTCATTACATTTCCAAATTCACTTGCGATAGAGTTCCCATTACATGTAAAATATTCAGCCTGAGAGGTAATATCCGGTTTCCAGCTTCAGTGTACCGTGGCTGAAGGCCTTAATGATCTTTCTCCAACACAGTGGTTCCTTAAGTGCTAGTGTGTCCCTCAGGACATAGTTTTGGAACTTTGAATGTGCCAGTCTGCAGGTGTGGACAGCCCTACGAACATGCTGTTAGACACGCTCAATTAAAACATACTGTTTTAATTACTGCAACTTGTTGTTTCACTGTCCATTGCTTAAAGTAGGAAAGTCACCTTAACATTAAGATGCCCACTATGATTAGTTGGAGCTGGATAAAACCTTCCTCTAACCTCCTCATTATTATTAAGTCAGCACAAATCTCTGGAGAAGCAAAAGAGTAGTGCAGCTGCATGAAAAAAGTGCATTACAGCACAGTACCAAGCCCTTCAGCCCATCAAGACTGCCCCAACACATGACTTTCTAAACTAAAAACTTTTTGCCTGTGCACTATCTGTATCCCTCTATTCCCTGCCTATGCATATATCTGTCAAGATGCCTCTTAAATATTGCTATTATATCGGCTTCTACCATCTCCTCTAGCAGTGCGTTCCAGGCGTGTAGCACCCTCTATTTAAAAAAATACCTGCCTCTCGCATCTCCTTTAGACTTACCCTTTTTTACCTTAAACCTATGTCCTTATATTTGAGTTTAGTTGTGTTATAAAGCGGAGGTTGACCCCCCTCTGAGAACTAAAACTGAAACACACAAAGAGGAGCACCTCGCCCTATAATCTGTAAAAGGAGTGCGAGAAGTGGTGTAACCTGCCTTTTAGCAACTTCTAGTGAATTCATAAGACTTGCTTTAAAATCAACAAATAACAATTTATTTATCTAACTCTAATAGTGAACAAATCAACTAAACTATTAACAAACCAAATAAATCCCTTCTAACTTTTCCCAAAAAAAAACAAGATTCTAATGGTATGCTATTCCAATAAATAGAAGTCCCACTTATAGAAAATAAAAATAGAATTTAGTCTTTCAAAATTACAGACAGGTAACGTTCTTCTGGACTGCTCTGTGCCTTATCCGACGATACTTCTGTTAGGAATGCTTTCTCTGCCGAATCTTCTATCAGGAATGTTAACTCGTTGTGCCGTGGGTACCTTTGTTATTTAGATGGTGCTTTCTGTAAGACTTAGAGGAGGCTGTGAGAGCCAGCAACTCTCCCTTGAGAGCTGAAGGCTGTTAGCTCTGGGACTTTGTCCAACTGCCCCCTTCTTTTACACCCTTGATGATGACATATCAATTTCTTAAAATAGGATTGGTCCTATGTTGTCAAAACTACTGGATTTAAATTTAATTGGTTTTTAGTATCTAAGTGCCTGGTTTAAATTGATTTGCTAAATTCAAAAGTTTGTTGTCTTAGTAAAACTGCTGCTTGGCCTGCTAACTGTATAGCCTTTTAATACAAATGTTTCAGTTCGTGTGCTCTCTGTATATTTGCAACCTTTCAAGCTGCTGCTCATAGACATCCAATTTAAATCTCTAAGCATAGAAAAAGCACATTATCTTTTAAAAGGACCACGTAATGCATTCCCTCCTAGCATTTTACAAACACCAAATTCTAACTTCTGGTCCCCCAGTTCACAAGTACTGTACCCAACTTCGCAGCAGTTGTTTCTGACCCAAGTTTCTCATACTGAAACTGAATGCAAAATTCTACCATGTTTCAATCACTGTTTCCTCGGATATTTTTACCCTGACATCATTCATTAAAATTTGCCTCATAACCCATTACCAGATCCAAAATAGCCTGATCCCTGATTGAATCTATAATATATTGTCTGGGAAACTGTGCCAAATACACTCTGTCCCTTCCTGCCACATTCTGATTCCCACTCTAACCTAAGTTGCTGCCATATAGTTTTGCTTTGTGAGCTTACATATCCCTTCTCCATAGCCCTCTCTCACTTCATTTAGTTTAAAGCCTCTTTTCAGGCTTAGGTATTTGATTTGCCAGGATACTGATCACAGCAGAGCTTAGTTGTGATACCTCTCAGAGTGAGAAGCATGAGAGAAATGGCAGGGAAAGAACCCAGGTACCTCAAGGAGGGAGATTGATCAGATGAGAGCATCATTGTTCAAATTGAGGAGTGAAATGCTTGAGGGAGGGTGCTGGAAGTTCCAAAAGAGATTGGCTTGGGCCTGAAGCTGGTGTGTGTGTTTAGCAACAAACATGGCACAATTACAACATTTAAAAAGCATCTTGATGAGTATATGAATAGGAAGGGTTTAGAAAGATATGGGCCAAATGTGGGCAAATAGGATTAGATTAATTTAGGATATCTGGTTGGCATGAACAAGTTGGACTGAAGGGTCTGTTTCTGTGCTGTAGAGCTCTATGACTATAACGAAGCATCACTAGCTCACCCCCACCACCCAACCTCCACCAACCAATGCTTATTAGTGACACAGGTTGACTCCTTTGTACAAGAATCTATTTTGCATTGTCCCATCAGGAAAAAAGTCCACCTTCAGCCCCAGAGCTATTATTCACATATGACACCTTGTTTATTTCACTTGGTAATATTTTCCCAATCCCTCACCTGTTGAAGGCACTTACCACAAGTCATCATTCTTTGTACATGCACCTTGACAATTAGTAAGACAAGCTGTTCACCAATGGGAATCCAATCCACCTTGCCTGACCTCAATGTGCATGCTCTTGAAGCTGGGCAATCAGAGCAGGATTTCTAGATGTTTTCTCTCCTTTCCACCTACCAGTTTGAACAACACTGTTGCACCACTAATTCAATTGATAGGAGCTGACCAAACACAGATTAGAGGTCTGTTCTTTAGGACACTGGGGCTCATTAATATTAAAAAAAAACAAAAGGCAGTTTGAATTGTATTTGTGTTTAACTTCCTGGTTTTGCTCAGTGTACCAGGGTTTAACAATCACTGTTAATAATTTGTTTTGACACCTAATTTCAGGCAGAGAGAGTGCGTCGGATGCGTGGAGAATTTGAGGAGAAAGGCAACAACAGACCGAAACACATGTCTGCTGATGATTTGCATGATGGTTTCATCCTAGATAAGATTGACAAGCCCTGCCTTGTTTACAAGGTGAGGTTGAAGAACTGGTAAAATCTAACCACTGCCCTTGGACGTGAGACAGTAGACAACAATGTTTCTGCTAAATAGCATGTGGTACAATTGCACAGCAACCAGGAAGGTAACATATAGAACTTGTTCTGAGTTCAATATCACCTGTAGCTGTACACAGGAATGTAAAGGTATCAAACACTGGTAGTGAAAACAGTAATATCTTACAGTGAAGACTTAGGGAATGTTTTGGCAAATTATGTTTATTCCTTTCACATTGCTGTGCAGTATCAGTGATTAATGCTTCAGTGTGTTCCTTTGGAATTCTTCTGTTTGTTCTTAAAGACATTAATCGTTTTTGGTTAGCCCCTTTGTTAAAGTAGCAGATTTAAGTTCCATTAACTGTTTGTTGGAAATGCTTGGCAGTGTAATCTCAACAGCAGCGTTATTATTGAAAAGATTTGCAAAGACACTTCACAGTATGGTGGACAAGGAATTCAATGGATAGTAGCAGAGGTGACCAAAAAGCTGCATCAAAGAAGCGAGTTTTAACAAAAGAAAGAGAGGTGTAAAGGTTTGTGGAGGAATGTTGAGGGAATGGGGACTGAGATGACTGAAGGCATGTTTTTCTTTGATGGAAAACTGAAAGTAATTATTGTTGTAATTAGTCAAATTCGGTTTGTTTGTCACTGACATAGTTTCACTGATTTACACTTAATACACCATACGTAACTTATTTTTAAAATATTATTAGGTATTCCGAGCTGTTGCTGCATTCTGTTAGAAGTTATAAAATTTTGCCATCTTAACAATAATTTGAATTAGCTGTGTGTTCCGATTGATGAGGGTAATTGTATGTAAGAGCATCTACAGAGCTGACTATGATACCACATGTTGTTTAAGTATCTGCACATAAATAATGATCACTTTAGACAACATAACAGAAGGTGAACCATTTAATTTTAAAATATCAGGAGGACTGAGTGTTGAAAAATTCTACATTTTTGTTTCTATCTTGTGCGCTCTGGGTGAAGACTTGATCTTGGCTCATTGTCTACTGATGTTTGATCCTGAGCCATTTTCTTAGCAGTCTTTTTTGCCAATGGTGGACTGCCGTTGCTTTCCACGCTCAGCCGCTAGAAGAGGAGGCAGGTCCCAAGTCTTGGCTCAGTTGAAACTGGAATTAAACCCACGCTTTTTTGACATTATTTGGAAGCACACTGTAGCTATCCAGCCAAACGAGCTAACCACCACTCGGCCTGAATGTAAAGGATTGTGCTGAACTGTTTTTTAAAATCATCTGTATTTGTTTTCTAACTGCTTTGAGACTGCCCCAAACAAAGTCAGATGCTTAAAGTTTTGGCAAACCTCTGTAGCTCGGGTTGTGGGTGAGGTTGTTGATTTGCTCACGAAGCTGGCTTGTTCTCGTTCAGACGTTTCATCACTATGCTAGGTGACATCATTAGTGGAGCCTCCGACGAAGCGATGTTATTCTACTCCGTTTGGCATTTATACTGTTTGGTCCATTATGACGAGTAATGTTATTCCCGGTTCTGATCTGTGTGGGTTTGTATATGGGGTCCAATTCTATATGTATGTTGGTTGCATTACTGGTGGAGAACCATGCCTCTAGGAACTCGCATGCATGTTTGGCTTGAGCTACTATGGTTACCTTGTCCCAGTTAAACTGATGGCTTTCATTGTCTGTCTGAGTGTACCAATATTAAGGAGTTTGTTGTGCCGTTTTGCTGCTAGTTGATGTTCGTGTATTCTGATGGTTAGTTTCCTTCCTTTCTGTCCATTGTAATGTTTGTGGTAGTCGTTGCATGGTATTTTGGTTCTGCATGATAAGATAATGCATGTTGTCTTTAATCCTTATGAGTGTTTTCCATAGAGTGGTTAAATTCATAGAGGATTTGATCTGTATGGGTTGCTTTTCTGTATACTGAGGTTTAGAACTCCCCGTTGGTCATATGCTCAATTTTAACATCCAGAAACAGAAGTTGATTGTTCATAGATCATAAAATCGTAGAATCCCAACAGTGTGGAAACAGGCCCTTCGACCAAACAAGTCCACACCAACCCTTGGAGCATCCCAGCCAGACCCATCCCCCTATAACCCACCTAAGCTACACATCCCTGAACACTATGGGCAATTTAGCATGGCCAATCCACCTAACCTGCACGTCTTTGGACTGTGGGAGGAAACCAGAGCACCCAGAGGAAACCCACGCAGACACGGGGAGCATGTGCAAACTCCATACAGACAGTCGCCCGAGGGTGGAATTGAACCTGGGTCCCTGGCGCTGTGAGGCAGCAGTGCTAACCACTGTGCCACCGTGCCGCCCTAACTTAACAACTTCCACAGCAACCACCCCAACATCCACAAACAAAGCTGCATTAGGACACTATTTAAATGGGCTAGGACACACTCCAACCAACACTCTGAAACTACGCAGGAAAGAAGAAGAGCTCCTGTATAAAATCCTCACTATAAACGGATATCCCCGCAACTTCATCTGTAGATGCCTACTAAACAGACAACAACAGAAGGACACAGTACACCCTAACACACTGGCCACACTGCCCTACATCATATTGGAACTGACCACAAGATCCTCAGACCACGAGGATCATGGTAGCCCACAGTCTCTCTCCGACAGACACTCACAAGGATTAAAGACCCCATTACCACAACGTGCAGAACCAACGTGGTTTACAACATACCATGCAACGACTGCCACAAACATTACGTCGGACAGAAAAGAAGGAAACTAACCATCAGAATACACGAACATCAACTAGCAGCAAAACGGCACGACGAACTCTCCTCAATATTTTGTTAATATAAAATATTATATATTACTCAGACAATGAAAGCCATCAGTTTAACTGGGACAAGGTAACTATATAGTAGCCCAAGCCAAACATACACACGCACGGAAATTCCTAGAGGCATGGTTCTCCACCCATATTGCAATCAAAATACATATAGAATTGGACCCCATATACAAACCCATACAGATCTGAACTGGAAATGGTATTACTCACCATAACGGACCAGACAATATAAATTCCAAGTAGAATAGAATAACATTGCTTCATCGGAGGCTCCACTGGTGATGTCACCTAGCATGGTGACAAAACATCTGAACGAGAACAAGCCAGCTTAGCAAGCAAGTCAACAACCTCAAAGTCAGATGCTTGATGGAGTTTGAACTTAACTTTTCCTTTATTAAAAGGAAGGAAAGCTAGAGGAATTTGACGAGGAAGAAACGGAACTGGGAAGCGAAAATGAAGAGGAGAATGGAGAAGGTGAAGACAATGATGAGGATGAAAATGGGAAAGAGAATCAAAGTGAAGAGAGTGATGAAGACAGTCATTCAGATCTAGAAAATGATAGCCATTCAGATTTAGGCTCTGACGCCGAGAGTGAGAAGGACAGTGTATCAGATGGTGAAAAAACAGCCCGGGCTACTTTGAATAAAGAGAGTGCACCAAATGAAGAAGCAAGAAAAGCTATGATGGAAGCAGCCAAGAGTGAGCTACCTTTCACTTTTCCTGGTAAGTCTTGGACTTCTGCTGGTGTGTGGCATTTTTTTTTTTGTTGGGGGTGGGGTGGCCAAAGGCTAGCATTGTTCATGCCTAAGACCCCACTGGCATAGTCAGCTAACATTTGGTCCTATGCTATAGGAGCAGTTGTTTGAGAAGGCTTATTAAAGTCCTATCTGAATTGCAGTCGAATAATGACCAAATGGAGTTAAAATAAAACAGCTCCATAGTTGATGCAGTTCAGCTGTGCTGCTGGAGTTCAGTTGTTACATTTGTAATACACCTGTAATGCTGGCCCAGGTATACTGCAAAGGCTGATATAGTGTAGTTGTGTGTAAGAACATAAGAAATGGGAACAGGAGTTGAACAGATAACCACCCCATTACCCTTTATTCCAAGACATCTCTGCCATTTAGTCTCTCTTGCCTCAACTCCTCCTAGACCTTCCCTTTTGTTCATTTTCCCCTCCCCATTTTCAACAGATAAAATTAATTGCATTCAATGATTAATCCAGTCTGTTCCAAGGAACCCAGGCCCAGTTCCAAGGAAGAGTTGTGTTTGGTTCAAAACGTTAACTTTGTCTCTTTACCAACGTTGCAGGACTTTGTTTTATTCATTCATGAGATGCATGTATTAGTGCTTAGGTCAGCAATTATTTCTTATCCTTAATCGGCTTGGGGGAGATGGTGAACTGCCTTCTTGGGCTGCTGCAACCAGTGCGGTGTAGGTACACCCACAGTGCTATACTGAAGAGAGTACTGAGCTTTTAAGCCAGCAGCAGTGAAGTAACAGTTCGAAGCCAGTGTGGTGTGTTGCTGAGAGGGGATTTGCAGGTGGTGGTACTTCCTTTCATCTGCTGCCCTTGTCCTTCTAAATCCTGGAGGTTGCAACCTAGACCATGCTGAGTATTTTGAGCAATTTCTGTTTTTATTTCTAATTTCCAGCCCTCATCACTTTATTGCTTTTATTTTAACCCCTCAAGCTTACTTTGCTATTCAGTAAGATCATGGTTCAAATTCTACTTCAGCACTTTACTGGCTTATCCCTTGAAGTGCTCAAACCAAAAATCTTTCAATCTGAATCTTGGATATAATGAACTACTGAGCATCCACAGCCATTCGGAATTCCAAAACTCTCAACCTTCTAAGTAACAAAATGTCTCCTCATCTTAGCCCTAAGTAGCTGACTAATCATTCTGATATTTTAACTTCCAGTTCTAAATTTTGCAGCAGGAGAACAGCTTCTCAGCATTCTTTTATATTCTTTCATAGATGTGCATGTTGCTGGTAAAGCCAGCATTTGTAACCCATCCCTGACCTCCCTTGAATTGAATGGCTTGCTAGGTTATTTCAGAAGGCGGTTAAGTGTCAATCACATTACTAAGGAAAGGAAATTTGACCAGGTGCTGCTGTGGGATTTGAAGGTGTGTCCCCAAAGCATGACCCTGGACCTTTGGATTATTAGTCCAGTGACATTACCACTAAACCACCACCTGCCCATCAGGCCCTCCTCAGATACATCTCATTCTTTTAAACTGGAGAGCAAAACCCATTCGATTCAATCATTCCTCATTGCACAGCCCTGTCATCCCAGGTGGAAATGTAGTGATTTTTTTTTTGTTTATATGTCCTCTATTGGCCAGACTGGGGATATGACCAATAGGTTTCCATCCTGATCTCATTTTAATGGTTTCATTTACACAGTCCCTGAGTCGTATGCTGACCTGAAAACCCTGCTAACAGGACACGTAACAGAGGAGCAGTGCTTAATAGTGGAACGCATTCAGAAGTGTAACCACCCAAGTCTTGCAGCAGGAAACAAAGCCAAGTTAGAGGTGAGTTCTTTATACTGCAAAGAGTCAAATGTAAAATAGCTGTTTAATCTCTATCATCCTTCAGACCAGTCTACAAGTGTTCTGTGAGGCACTATATAGAACTGGTTACATGCCACTCATTTTCTTTTATAAAAATCTAATTTGTTTTTGAAGTATATAATGCTGGTAAAGCCACATGTCTTGCACATCGTGAAGTTTTCAATACCTTTCTATATGTGTAAGCGCAATGCATGATCATGAAAAAAATTAACAGATTGTTGAAATAAATACTTTAAAGCTTCATTAAACCCTTATTTAAATACATTTCTATGCTGTGCTCTTTGCTCCTTCATAACATGAATGAACTCATGATTGCCGAGCCTCTAATTAGTTCTAAGGATGGGTTGTGAAGTATGCATGACATGCTGTAAAACTGCTC